GCGGTAGTTTTCTGGATTCCTACTACCCTCGTCAAAATTAATCTCACAAATGGCGACCACGCCCCTGCGATGTCGGCGCGCCCTTCAATGTCGATAGACGCCCCTCCAGTGTCGGGGCTAGGGCAAAGGTGGTCTGACCGGGAACGACTCGGAAGTTCGATGACGACCGACATTGGAGGGGCGGCACATACGAGTACCTCGCAGTCACCACTACTCTGTCCAGTATCTCCCCGCAAACAGTTCAGCCACGCAAGAAATTCTTGAGGTCAATTTTGACGAGGGCTGTAGGTGGTCGAAAGACTACCGCAAGAAACAAAACCTAGGATCATCTTTTCATGGTGGAGGCCCCCTCCCCTGTGTTGGTGCTGGGGTTCATGTGCAGGCGATCGCAAACATGGATTAAGGGGGCGTGGATTAGCGACGGAACCCGCTTCCACGGGAAATCGCGGATGTCCGCCGCCGAGCGAGGCGACGCCAGCCGCATTTTGGGGAGGGTACCTCCCCCGATCCATGGATTTGGCGACTGCGCGCCAAATCCATGGATCGCTAATCCATTCAGGAGGGAAAAACACAGACCCGACCCCATCTACCAGGGCCGTTTTCGTTTCGACTCCGTTTTGCGGTAGAGGTGGATTGAAGACAAAACGTGGGAAAGCGAAGACAAAACGAAGACGAAGAACACCGTTCAGGTTCAGCCCCGCCGTCCGCTTCGGCCCCATCCGGGAGGCCCCCGACGTGTGCAGGCCTCCAGGCCTCGCAGTCTGGCCCCCTTGCCGGCCCGCGGCCCTCTCGGCGGCGGGCCCCCCTCGCCCGTGCTGCTCCGAGGGGCCTCCCCGCGCGGCGCCGAGCTCGGCGGAGGGACGGGCCCCGACGCCGCGGGGGATCGTGCAGACTGGAGCCACCGGCCCTTCCGCTGACGCCGGATCGTTCCACGACGGGCCGATCCTGGCCCACGGGCGGCGTTCGAGCTCGAACGCCCGCGGCGGGGTCGCGGCGAGTCGGCACGACGCGAACTTGCCGTGTTGCCCCTCCTCGGGGCCTCCTGGGAGGCCCTCGCCGCCACCGTTGGATTGGCGCTACGTTCGGAGGAGGAAAAGCTAGGTACCCATGCCTCTACGCCCTCGCCCGTGTTCCCCTTTTCGGGGCCTCCTGGGAGGCCCTCGTCGCCAACCGCTGGATGCGCCTCGAAACCCGGGTCAGAGGGCACCCCGGGAGAGGCCCAGGGGGCAGCGGTGTCGGTGCCCTTTTGGATTTCCCCAGCCATTGTTGTGGCAGGGCAGCAGCACAGGTCTTGAACTGAAGTGGGGCAAGCCGTCGCCGACGTACCGGCGATTTCGGAAAAGAAAAAAAAACGCCCAAGCACAACGCCTCGAAGATGGCGCAAGAGCGCCCCCCGCGCCCCCAATTTCAATGTTCATCTGAGGGAGCAGGCCGCGGCTCGCAAACGTGGGCGTTTTTTTCGAAACGACTCGCGCTCCACCGCGTCCACCGCCACGATCTGTGAAATTGGGGCCGGGGGGGTTGGACCCGCTTCAATGCGCATTTGAGGTGGGCGTGTTTTTTTTTTTTCTCTCGAAAACCACGCTATGACTCCGCGAACGACGCAGCATCCCATCCAGACGGAGGCCCTGCAACATTCGGCTGCGAATCGGTGTGCTCGGCTCCGTTGCACACTCTCCGCGACGGACATGCGCCGTGGGTCTCCCCGCACCGAGGCGAAGCGCAAAACGCGCCTTCAAGCAGCTCGCAAAACTGTGTGTGGTCCCGCGGCATTTGGTGTGGAGCAGCAAGCACGGAGTATGTGACAGTCTTGTCGCTGCCAATGCTGTAATTATTCGCTTGGGTCTCCTCGGCTACCTACAGCCCTCGTCAAAATTGACCTCAAGAATGTCTTACGTGGCTGAACTGTTTGCGGGGAGATACTGGATAGAGTAGTGGTGACTGCGAGGTACTCGTATGTGCCGCCCCTCCAATGTCGGTCGTCATCGAACTTCCGAGTCGTTCCCGGTCAGACCACCTTTGTCCTAGCCCCGACACTGGAGGGGCGTCTATCGACATTGAAGGGCGCGCCGACATCGCAGGGGCGTGGTCGCCATTTGTGAGATTAATTTTGACGAGGGTAGTATGAGCTGTTATGCGCAGACTCGGTGTGTTCAATTGCCGATGTCGATGTCATAGGAATCCTGGAAAAAGCAGACGTTATATGTCCCACTTGTTGCCGGATAAACGAGAGAAATTGCATCACAATCATGCAATCGAATGGGTCTGGGTCTCACGTGCAGATTGTACGCCGATGAAATGGTACGCTAACCATTTGGGTGGAACACGGGCCTCGCAGCCGGCCACGACGGCAGTTGATTTCTGAAGCATGCAGGTTGTATCAACGTAGATGAGCACCCTTCTGTGATGCAACACGTCTGTCCTGTCTCATCGCATCCTTTCCTCTTCAGCCCAGCGCGGAATCTGTTGAAGCGTTAGGCAGTTGCCCTCGGCGGCCTTAAGAAGTGGTTGTCGTGCCAACGCGTCCTGCTGGATGTGCGGTCCCAGTGGGTGGTGGCGGCGGGGGGGTCGACGCACAGGCGCGAGGAGAGGGCGAGCGATGCAGGACGAGGAAGGGACGCTGAGCCAGGGTCTTGTGTCCAAGCTGCTGCTCACCTCCACTCGCTCCCTCGTCTCCCTCCTCCCTCTGTTCCTCCGTCCCCCCCGTCTCTCCTTCACTCTCTGTCCCTTCCACCAGCTCCCTCCTCCCCGCTGCTGCTGATCGTACCCCTCCCCATTGAGGCCCGTATCCAGGGAATTCATCCTCTCCCACGGCATCGGCAATATGCAGGTGCCCTTTGATATAGGCACGTTCCGCAAGCTGAGGGAGCGGGCGGAGGGCGCGAAACAGACGACGTACTGCGTCGACGTTGTCTTCAACCCGCTCATCGTGCAGCTTTTCATGGACGACGAGTTCTGCAATGCCGACGGCCTCCAGAACTTCAGGACGTTCGTGATGAACCTGGCACTTAAAAGAATCGAAGAGAGTATCGGCGTCAAGCTTTCGCTTCCGAAGGCGAAGCTGGTAAAGGCGTTCAGGTACAAGGACGGGGAGGATGGCGGTCAAGATCCCCGGGAGTTCACCGAGCTGCCAGGGGACGCAGATTGTTTCGACGAGGAGGCCCCGAAGAAGCCGTCGAAGGAGGAGCCACCGCCAGAGCTGATTCAGGACGTGACGCCGGGCAAGCCGAAGAAGCCAGCGGTCAAGAAGGGCTTCCTGAACAGCAGCTCGAAGTCCCTGTACGGGCCAGAGGGCTCCAAGGAGGGCGTGGTGCCCGAGAACGCAGGAGACCGTCCTTCCCCCGTATCGCCTCCTTGGATCAGCGCTGGACCCCCCTCCCTGGCGCGCTTCTCGCGCCAGCGGCGGCGCTAGAGGCGCCGTCAGGGGGTCCGCGCCGAGCCAAGAAACCCGCGCGGGCCTACGACAGTGTGTGTGTGTGTGCGTGTGCGTGTGCGTGTGCGTGTGCGTGTGCGTGTGTGTGTGTGTGTGTGAGTGTGTGTGTGTTATGCCCCTCTTGGTTCCTCTGCTCGCTCCCTCACCCCACTCTCTCTCTCCCTCTCCCTCTCCCTCACCCTGCCTCTCCCTCTTCCCCTCCCTCCCTCTCCCTCCCCCTCCCTCTCCCCCTCCCCCTCCCCCTCCCTCTCCCTCCCCCTCTCCGTCTCACTCCCCTCCTCTCCCCCTCCCCCTCCCTCTCCCTCCCCCTCCCTCTCCCCCTCTTCTCCACGCCCGCTCCCCGCCTCCCGGCCCCCGCCCTCGCCCGCCCCCTCCCGGGCCCCCTCTCTGCCTCTCTCCCCCCCTCTCTCTCTCTCTTTTCTCCCCCCCTCGGAGTCTTCTGGCGGGCGGATCCCTCAGGCTCTCCGCCGCCGCTGGCGGTGCGCGTTGCGAGCAGGAACGCAGCAGAGCCACAAGAGAGCGCGGCATTGACAGTGTAGCTCGGCACTCGTGACACATGTTAACGAGCAGGAACACAGCAAAAGCCCCAGGAGAGCGAGGCATTGACAGTGTAGCTCAACATTGACACGGTGGTGGCCGGGGAGCCCCCGCGACATGTCCACGAGCGCTGCTCGCTCCACCCTGGCGGGTGTGGACAGAGGACGCGCTGATTGCACAGAGAGCAATACCACAAGATCTCACGACGAGACCAAGGCTGTGAGCTGTGTGTGAGCTGTGAACAGGCTTGAGAGATTCACCTACCAAAAGTGATGGGGAGGGGCGAGACCCGACGTCAGCTCACGACGCGCCCACGTTGCCGTGGACTGGGCGGCACGCCGGCGGCGTCGGAGCTCTCCCCCACGTCCCTGTGTCACTCGCTCTCTCTCTCTCTCTCTCTTTCTCTTTATCTCTATCTGACTTTTTGTTCCCCTCTCTCTCTCTTCCCCCCCATCTGTCTCTTTTTCTCTCTGCTCTGTTCTTCTCCTCTTTCCTTATGCGCCTTCGGCTCTCGTCTTCCCTGCCAGGTTTTATTGCTCAGTCCGATTGTCCGTGATGCCATCTCGTCGTATCCGCTTCATTCCCAGGCCTCCTGCGTTGATCTCAATCCGCAGCGCCGCGCGCCACCTCCCACCTCCCTACTCCTCTTCCTTATCCTCGTCTCCCTGCCCCTGCGCTCCCAGAGAGGCCGACAAGAGTGAATTTAGAGACCTCACGCCCCAAAGTGTATGTAATATTGTTTTCGACAGGGATGGAGATTGTGTGGGGGGTCCTGGTTGGCTGCCAGTCGCCTCGGGGAGAGGGAGGTGCTTTTCAACAGGGGACGGTGATCAAGACACTCTCCCCGCCCGCAAGCTGTCTCGCTCACGCCAACCCGCCCTCCCAACGCATCAGCAGCAACGGGGCCTCAACATGTTCAGCGGTCGTCTACAAGTGTCGGAAACAATTAAGCAACACTCACGCGTAACATATGATGTGAACTCGTCCCCCCTCCCCCCGAATGGAATGTTGGGCTCGGATCTCCCGAGTTTGAGTGTCGGACCAGTGATGCGTATACGTGCCAATTTTGAATTGCGGGGGGAGGGGAAAATGTTGCTTAATTTTTCCCCTCAACCGTATGGATAGGCAGCTACTGAAGACCAGCACAGACCCCATGTTCGCGATGGGGCGAGGTGCGCGTGGCGCCAGGCGCTCCAGGTAATCCCTCCCCGCGGGGTTGGAAGAGGAGCCGCCCTGCACCACTCACGCCCTGACGGGATTCTCCCAGCGGCTTGCGCCATTCTGCCGGCCCCGGGAAGGGTGGCAGGACGATGTCCTCGGTCGCCCGGGTGTCCCGAGGTGGGAAACGCGAGTGAGGAAGGACGAGCGTATGGCACAAAGGCGGAGGAGAGCGAGGATGAAACGGCAGAGGAGATGGCGACAGGAGGGAGGAGCGGTGGCCGAAAATGCAGGCGACCCCATGGGCTTCATCCCGAAAAAGCTCAGGCAGACCTGCAAGTTCGTCGACACGGCCGCACCAGAGTATCAGGAGGCGGAGAAAAAGCGCAGAGCCGCGGAGGAACACAACGCGACGGCGCAGGAGTTCAGAGACACGCTGACCAAGGACCTGGACAAGTGGACCAGGCACGCTCAGCCCGACAAGTGGGAGCGCGACCTCCCGGACGCGGCCCCCCCGCCCTGCAAGTACGACAACGACTACTCCCGCTTCGACGACATAGGCAGGGTCCATTCCGATCCGATCGATCCTGTTCGATTGCGATTTGGGCCGGTCCGAACCGCGTCGATTCCGACATTCCATCGATGCCGATGCAGCCCGGTCCGACGTTTTTTCCGATTCGATCCGATTCCCCGATCCGATGCTGACTGATCCTGCGCAGGCGCCTGTGAGGACGAGGCGGCGGCCCCCCCGGCCCAGCAGCGGGACTGGTACTGCGACGGCGACGGCAGGGTGCAGCGCGCGCCTTCCTCCGGCTCGAGGGCGCCCACGTCCGAGCCCGCGCCCGCGGCGGAGCCCGCGCTGAAGAAGGGGCTCTCCCGGGAGGGGGCGGGAGGGGGAGGAGGAGGAGGAGGAGGGGGAGGAGGAGGAGGAAGAGGAATAATGATAATAGTCATAATCATCATAATAATACTAATAAGAAGAAGAAGAACAATAATAATAATAATGATAAAAATCGTAATGATGTTAATACTACTACTAATAATAACAACTATAACCTTAATACTAACAATCATTATTATTATTATTAATAATTATAATCAAATATAGTAATACTACTACTACTACTACTACTACTACTACTACTACTACTACTACTACTACTACTACTACTACTACTACTACTACTACTACTACTAATAGTAATAATACTAAGAATAATACGAATACTATTAATAATACTACTACTACTACTAATAATAAGAAGAAGAATAATTCGAACAATCAGACTAAGAATAATAGTAATAATAATAACAATAATAATACTAATACTACTGATACTAATAAGAAGAAGACGAAGAAGAAGCAGAAGAAGAAGAGGAGGAGGAGGAGGAGGAGGGGGGCGGTGGCGCTCCCCGCACCCTCGTCGCGCCCGCCCGTCGGCCGGGGCGGTGGCCGCGTCCACCTGCCTGGCGGTCCTGTGCTCTGCGCTGCCCAGGGGCTCCGCGAGCCCCCGATGATCAGAACAGGAAAAAACACATAAACACAAAGGGTTTTATTGGTTTTACGCCGGAAGGGAGCGTCGTTGAGAGGGTACCTGGCACGGATGCGGGGATCGGTGTGGCGTCGGTCTTTGGAGCTGGCGGTTTGCGAGGCAAGTGCGTCTAGCTGGTCGCAAGTGTTCGGAACGCGTGACGGGTGGAAAGACCGCTCACCAGCAACTGGCAATCCTCTGCCCGCGGGCCAGAATAAATCGTCGCGCGTTCGCAACGGGGTGTGGGAAAGGGGGTTGGGAAGAGAGCGCGAATCTCATTCCCAAAAAATCCATTCGATTGGCAGCAAACAGTCCTTTTTCTATTCATCTGCCGCACGGCCAACCGAACGAACGAACAACTGTCTCGGCGCGCTGTGTTAACTTCGCTTGCGCGCATCCTGGTTTCCTTCCGTTGTTTCCTTCGCTTCTTTCTCGCCCTCCTCTTCTTTTTCCTTTTCCCCTGCTTTGCCTTGTCCCGCCTTCCCTTCCTTTCCAGCTCGGAGATGTCGCCGCGCGCGAAGAGCGCAACCCAAAGGGCGTTGCTGGAATTCCTTTGTGTACCACGAAGTCTCGCGTAATTCCTTTGTGTACGGTCTGGTTAAACTGCCAAAGCGGGGGGCACACAAAGGAATTTCCTTTGTGTACGACCGTTTTCGCCGCCCCCACAAGAGCACGCGCGATTCCTTTGTGTACACATTGTTTTCCCGCCTCGAGGAACGCACGGGGCCTGGCGCTACAATCACAAGGCCGCGGCGCCGGGCAGTGCGATGTTGCGCTGGATACCACGCCCAAAACGATCCTGCGTGGATGTCGGCTCTTTTGCCGAAATCGCGCTGGCAGCTGGCCAGCCACACCGCCGGCCCTGCATGCCCGCGCGCGGTACTGCGTTTTGTTGCCGCCACGCGTGCTGCTGTCAATGGATGAACAAGCTGACGTTGCACGGTGGTTTGGCTGTGCCAAACCACCATGGAATGTCAGTTGGTAGCGGATTTGGGGATCTTGTCGCCGCCGACAGCCTTGCCACACCATGCATGTCAACTGCATCCTAGAGCGCGGCCGTGCATAAACCCTGGTTCGGATCGCTGGGGATCCAGTCGCATGTGTGCACATGCTTTGCACCGTTGGTGGTGCCAAAACCCTTTGTTTGAAATTCCTTTGTGTGTTTTTTCCGGCTCCTAGATGAGGAAGGCTCGGCCTCCCGTTCGGAGGTTTGCCCTCTCCCTGCAGTCCAGAGGTTTGCCCCATTCAGGATGGGACCCTGTGGGGCCACGAAATGCTGCCCTTGGTGGGGGAACCGCATGCGGGCACCCCCGCTGGGGTCTGCGGTGGGGCTCCCTGTGGGGCCACGAAACGCTGCCCTGGGTGGGGGAACCGCATGCGGGCACCCCCACTGGGGCCTTCGGGGGAGCTCCCTGTGGGGCCACGAGGGGCTGCCCTGGGCGCGGGAACCGCATGCGGGCACCCCCACTGGGGCCTGCGGTGGAGCTCCCTGTGGGGCCACGAAACGCTGCCCTGGGTGGGGGAACCGCATGCGGGCACCCCCGCTGGGGCCTTCGGTGGAGCTCCCTGTGGGGCCACGAAGCGCTGCCCTGGGCGCGGGAGCCGCATGTAGGCACCCCCACTGGGGCCTGCGGTGGAGCTCCCTGTGGGGCCACGAAACGCTGCCCTGGGTGGGGGAACCGCATGCGGGCACCCCCACTGGGGCCTTCGGTGGAGCTCCCTATGGGGCCACTGGGGCCTACGGGGGGTGGGGAGGAGGGGGGAGGACGGGGGAGGAGGAGGAGAGGAAGGAAGGAAGGAACGCGGGGCGCTGTCACTTCAAAACGAGGACCCAACACCACAGGATGGTTGGGAAAATCCATTTCCATCTTGTCCTGGACATCCCGAGCTCGTCTCGCTCCTGAACACAGGTGCAACAAAGTTTGAGACAGCACACTGCTGTGGCCGAGGGCAGCGCTGCGTAGCTGGACCATCACAGGCAAATGACTCGAACTGGGGCTGGAGAGGATCATGATGGGGACCCTCGTGAACATCCTTGTTCAGGTCGGGAGAGAGCTCATATTGACACGCCAGTAGGGCCATAGACCACGGGACCTCCCAAGCATCAGGATAGCGAGTGGCACACCACGAAGCCGCGGGGAGCTTCAGTCGGCGGCGAACCCGGTGGGGAAGTGAGAAAGGGCGGGCCTTGTCGGAAGGCTCGGAAGTCCCCCGCCCTTCTGAAAAGTTTTCTAAGCCTTCCCCGAAGACGCAGGAACCCTCTCAGAAGGCACACTACCAGAAGGCACCCTCTGAGAAGGCCGGAGGCCTTCTGAGAAGCCCCGCCGCCTTCTGAGAAGATCTTACTTCTCCTTCTCCCCCCCCCGCACGCCGCAGATTCAGGCTGGCGAGTGCCAGAATGTGGAGGGGGGGTAGAGGGAGGGAGGAAGGAAAGAGGCCGAGAAACGAGGAGGCGCGCCGGGGGGGGGGGGTCGCCCCCACCGCTCCTGGGGCCCGGGCTCGGGGCCCGCAGGGGGCGGCCCGGGAAGAGGCCCCCCGCAGGTTCCTGGACGGCGGGAAGAGCCCGCTGTACCCCAAGGGCTCTGAGCAGAGGGTGCGGCCGCGCGCCCCCCCGGAGGGGGCAATCCCCCTCCTTCCCTCCCTCCTTCCCTCCCTCCTCCTCCTCCTCCTCCTCCTCCTCCTCCTCCTCCTCCTCCTCCTCCTCCTCCTCCTCCTCCCGCATCCCTCCTGCTCCTCCTCCGCCTCCTCCTCCTCCGCCTCCTTCTCCTCTTCCTACTCCTCCTCTTCTTCAACCTCCTACTCGAACGGTCGGTCTCTACATGCTGCCCCTCTTAAGGGTGTCCCTCTTCCGCCGCCGTTTTGCTCTGGGGTATGGATGGCGGCTGCCTTCCGTGCCCGTTTCATACGTGTGTCATACCATCCGTTTCATTCGTCTGCGTTTTGCAAAACAGTCCGCCCTACACCCTTCACCTGTACTTCTAGTTGATAGCGGAGCTTCGGCTCCCTTCCACGCCTCGCCATGGCCTGTCTGGCATTTCGCCGCTTTGCTTCGACGGCGAGGGCTCCATCATCTTACCGTGCTATACGACCTGGACTTATGCGACCTCGTCATGCTCACCGTGTCGTTCCCCCAGCTGCGATCTCGCATTGGGCCGTGCTCTCCGTGCTCGCGTGCCTCTACCCGCTCACCGCGGCAGGCGACGGCTCCACGAGGGACCGTCGGGGCAACACGGCTCCACGAGGGACCGTCGCGGCGATCGCGGGGGAAACGCGCTACCACCACCAGGACAACAACATCAAGGGCCGCTTCCCCCGCCCGCCTTCTTTCCCCTCGGGTACTCTCGAACTGTGTTCGAGGTGCTCGGGGCTCCCACGCCTTCACAGCACACACACACACACCAGAGGGCCCCGACCCGAGCTATTCGCAACTGCGTTGCGGAAAGGCGGGGGGAGGGGAAAGCGGCAAAGGACGCATCACCCTCATTGCATCCGCATGTGGGTGTAGCCGACCATGTCGAGCAGTCGTTCGATCCGACGCTCACATCGTCGTCGTCGGCAACGCGTCCCGATTTCTCCACAAATGTATTGTGGAAGCCGGATAAAGCGCGTGCAGGCAAGAGCGGTAATACAGACGACGGTCGTGCAACTATGCTGTCATCCTTGCGGGGGGCCGTTGCGCAAGCGTGGGATTACTCGTTAACGGTTCTCTGGGACATGACCCTCGACGGTACCTGCGCACCCCTTGTCCGAATGCAGCCAGCACTCCCAGCGTACGACAGAAGAAAGTATCCTATACTCTGACGAGGAGGAACAAGCCAGTGACAGGTAAACACGACGGTTCTGAGGATCATTACAAGAGCATCGCCTCTGGTGGGTACGAGGGCTGTCGCGCCTCCTCGACACCTGGAGGGGGCTCCGCTCTGGATGGAAGGCCATCTGAGCGGGCGTGGTCGCTGCCATCAGTTGCGTCGCCTGCGTGGACGCGGGCGGTGGTGGCAGCGGCGCTCTGCCACGCCTCCGCACCGTGGGCCCCGAGCAGCAGGCCTGCGTTCGCTTCCAACGTTCGGTGCGGGAGGTACTTGCTTGGTCAGTGGCGAACTCAGACTTCAACGAGTTCCGCCAAGCGGCCTACGTCCCGTCTCGCTTGACCGGCGTGGCTCGCGAGTGCGTGGGCGAGTGGCCGCCAGCTGTCCTCATGCAAGGTGTTCGTATCCACGGCTTTCCTGTGCTGCCTGTGGCCTACCCCATGCACGTGCGAAGTGTGGTCCCATATCATTGTGTTTCTCTCGCTGGTGGCTCCTTCGAAGGCCATAGCGATAATGGTACATGTGTTTAGCAGTTACACACCTGTGGGGCGGTCCTTTTTCAAAGCGGGGATCTCGCCAGACACTCCGCTGGACAGTCCGATCGTACCTTTTCAATCATATTGTTCATTGGACGATTGCGAACGTGAGGTTCTTTTCTATCGGGGCTCTCACCTGAATGGCAGGTCCATGTGGTATTTGTACTTCAAGGTGTCGCCCTTTGTAGTGAAGAGGAGGGTTCACAGGCCTCTGTGATGAGGGGACTTGGGGCGGGAAGGTGCGTTGCAGCACCGCTGATGCACATTGGGTTTACGCCGGTCATCCTTCGTCCCCGCTTCCTGCCTCCTCCTCCTCCTCCTCCTGTTCCTCCTTCTCTCCCTCCTCCTCCTCCTCCTCCTCCTCCTCCTCCTCCTCCTCCTGCTCCTCTTCCGGCTCCTGCTCCTGTTATGTGGGGAAACTGGGCTGGACACGACAGACCGCCCTGGGGAGGAGGCCCTCCCCGAGTTTTTGACGTGTGGTCTGGTTTGCCCACTCCCATGACTTCGAGTAATGCGTGCCACTTCGCTCGCCCCGAAGTCGAGGTGGGGGACATACTTCTGTCTTGCAGGCTTTGTGCGCTCCACGCGACCCCAATGCATGAACTGGTGTAGATCAGGAAAGTCATCCTCCCTTCTCGCCCTTGCAACCTTATCGCGCATCCTGTTCTATGCGTTGACTGTAGTGTAGATCAGGAGAGTTATCCCTCCTCCTCCTCCTCCTCCTCCTCCTCCTCCTCCTTACTCCCCACCCGGACCATCAAGTGTTTTGGGTGGCGTTTCATCTTCTGCTCGCAGCCTGAGGCGGCCAGCCCAAAACGACGCAGCTTCATTTTGCTTCCAAGTTTCGTGCCGGTCACCGTTCCGATGAGTGTGCCGTCCATCTAGCCAAGCAGCGTTTTCGTTCTCGCGATGTCGACACGGGTCGCTGCCATCGACCCTGAGGCAGGCAAGCTGAGATTGTAGTGGCCTCTGGCCAGTGCCGCCGATCCAGTGTGCTACCGATTCTGCTTGCAGCGGATGACCTCTTATGGTTACAAGTAGAACACTCGCTAGAAACATCCTCATCATATAAAGAGGTTGAACTCGCTTGGGCAAGTTTCGGATGTTCGAGCGTGACGATCTCGCGTGAACAGCCAAACTCATGGGATGTCCCCTCCCCCCTTCCGGCCTTCAATGGCGTCAGCCACGGCGTCAACCCCCGCCCCCCCCGACTCCCCCGTCCCAGGTGTGAATTGCGTCAGCCATGGCGTCGGCCCTCCTCCCCCTCTCCTCTCCCGAGCCTGAATGGCGTCAGCCATGGCGTCAGCCCCCCCCCCCCCCCGACAGAGTGAAGCTTGAGCGAGCTTCCCCGTCCTTCCCCCCTCCCGGGCCTGAATGGCGTCAGCCCTCCCCGCCTCTCCCCGACTCCTCCCTCGCGGGCCTGAATGGCGTCAACCACGGCGTCCCCCCCCCCTCCCCTCTCCCCCCTCCTGGCCTGAATGGCGTCAGCTATGGCGTCAGCCGCATCCCCCCCCCGACCGAGCGAAGCTTGAGCGAGCTCCCCCCCCCTCTTCCCCCCTCCTGGGCTTGAATGGCGTCAGCATGGCGTCAGCCTCCCCCCCCCCCTGACTCCGTTCTCCTGGGCCCGAATCTCCCCCCCCTCCCCCCTCCTGGGCCTGAGTGGCGTCAGCTATGGCGTCAGCCGCCCCCCCCCCCGACAGAGCGAAGCTTGAGCGAGCTCCCCCCACTTCCTTCCTCCCGGGTCTGAATGGCGTCAGCCATGGCGTCAGCCCTCCCCCTATGGGCGTCAGCCCCTCCCCCTCCCCTCTTCCCTCCCAGGCCTGATGGCGTCAGCCCCCCTCCCCCCGACAGAGCGAAGCCCCCGGCCTGAATGGCGTCAGCCCCTTCCCCCCCCTCCCTCCCTCCCAGGCCTGAATGGCGTCAGCCCCCCCCCCCTCCCTCCCGGGCCTGAATGGCGTCAGCCCCCCCCCCCCTCCCTCCTCAATGGCGTCAGCCCCCCTGGGCCTGAATGGCGTCAGCCCCCCCCCCCTCCCTCCCTCCCGGGCCTGAATGGCGTCAGCCCCCCCCCCCCCTTCTCCCTCCCGGGCCTGAGTGGCGTCAGCCCCCCCCCTCCTCCTCTCCCGGGCCTGAATGGCGTCAGCCCCCCCCCCCCTCTCCTCCCTCCCGGGCCTGAATGGCGTCAGCCCCCCCCCCCCCCCCCCTCCTCCCTCCCGGGCCTGAATGGCGTCAGCCCCCCCCCCCTTCCTCCCTCCCGGGCCTGAATGGCCCCCCCCACTCCCTCCCGGGCCTGAATGGCGTCAGCCCCCCCCCTCCTCCCTCCGGGCCTGACAGCGTCTTCGTTCTCGCGGTGTCGACACGGGTCGCGGCCACCGACCCTGAGGCAGGCAAGCTGAGATTTCGGTAACAGGGAGGACACAAACAACATCAGGGCAGGATAGACAAGATCCCCACCCCTAATTACACCCCCACCTCTCCTCCACCCATATCCGTTCCTCTTCCTCTTATTCCTCACGCTTTCTGTCCCGATCCTCTTTTTCATCCTCCTCCCCCGATTTCCTTGAGCTCTTCAATTCGCTCAATTGTTTGTTATTTTCTTCCTCCTCGTCCCTCTTCGTTGCCCGCATTATCCTTTTCCTCCTCCTCCTCCTCCTTTTCCGTACGCTCCTCCTGCTCCTCCTCCTCCTCCTCCTCCTCCTCGTCCTCCTCCTCCTCGTCCTCTTCCTCCTTACTCTTTCCTTCTGCATCCTCGGCCTCCACTGTTCAACTTCCTCTTTGCCTGGAAAAGTTGCTAACCCCAACAGTGTTAGAACAAAAGGGCCCGAATACCTCGGACAAGATCGCACACTGCAGATATCGACAAAAACCTTGCTGTCGCCATCGTCGTCTTCCACATTCCCCTTCTTGCTCATATCATTTCTCTCCCTCTGGCATTCTGGATCATTCGTAGTACTCTTCTCGCACTCTTCTCGCCCTCTCGCGCCTGAACGTGCTCTCGGGTGGGCAGTCGGGGGGCTCTCAGAGCTCCAGGGCCTGTTTCTCAGGGCACTGTGGTCTGGTCGGCCTTCGGGAGGGGGAGGAGGAGGAGGAGGAGGAGGAGGAGGAGGAGGAGGAGGAGGAGGAGGAGGACGTCAGGAGGAGGACGTCAGGAGGAGGAGGAGGAGGACGTCCCCCCCCCATTCCGCGTCCTCCCCCCCCATTGGCCCGGCAAGACTTCTCCCTGCTCCCCTCGCTGGCCCTCGCCCTGCATCGCCCAGCCATCCTGGCCCGGCCATCCTGGCCGAGCCATCCTGGCCCAGCCATGCTCCTCCTGGTCCTCCCCTCCCCTCCCCTCCCCTCCCCCTCCCTCCCTCCCTCCCCTTCCTCCCCTCCCTTCCCCTCTCCTCCCCCCTCCCCCCCCTCTCTCTGCCCCCTCCATCCCTCCCCTCCCTCCCCCCCCCCGTCCCTCCCTCCCTTCCCCCTTCCCCTCCCTCACCCCGTCCGTCCCCTCTCCTCCTCCCTCCCTCCCCTTGCCCCTCCGTCCCTCCCTCCCTCCCTCCATCCCCTCCCCTCCCTCCGTCCTCCTCGACGCCGCGGCGCCGCCTCTTGCAGAGGCGCCACCGACAGAGGAGCAGATCATGAAGGACGGCGGGCGCGGGGGTGGAGGCGCGTCGAGTTGGAAGCGTTTGGGCTGTTTCCCAAATACGGTCGGACCGAGGTATCATATCGAGGTCGGTTCGGGAAGGGTATCCTAATGTTCTTTGTGTTTGTTGGATGTTCTTGTGAATCCTGGGGGGAAGGTACCTTCGCATGTTTTAATTTGGCCGGCAGAGGGTCTCGTGCTCTTGAAGGAGGTTCTCATGTCTTACGGTAGAGGGAAACCACTAATGGACCTTCCTCATCTCCCCCAAACTCAAAGTTGTCACTCGCGGAGGAGACTGCGGTCGAAGTGCAACTCATCAGACCCACCGCCAATTCTGAACATCGGCGTCGGGGGGAGGTGGAGGCGTTGACCGATGACAGTGGCATCAGTGTTCGGTTTTTTGTTTCCGAGGCTTGTAGGTCCTGCCGTATTCGTTCCTGTTACCACGGCTGGACGCGGCTCGAAACAATTCACAGGATGGAGCCTGGGAGGACTGGGGGCCAGCTCTGCAGGCGGGCCCGTCCGATGGCCCAAGCGCGTGCGCCGTTTGGAAGAGTCACGCGCCGAAGCACGAGGGGGCGCCTGGTGCCGAAAAGGGCAAGGAGGATACCGCGGTGGGGAGTAAAAGGCCAGAGAGGACAAGGAGGCGGAGGAGGAGGAGGAGGACGAGGAGCAGGCGGAGGCGCGTGATGAAAAGAACTTGGCGGAGAGGAGGTGGGGAGGACAACGCGTTAGACCAAGGATGTGAGGGTTTAGGGGATCCCAGTGGTCCGAGGCTCCGAAGCCTCCAAACCTTGTGGTTATACTAGTCGTATTACTTTCGCTTGCTATTGTGTTGTACGATAACCCGAAGGATCATACCAAACTGCGGCATCAACACGACCTGTGAAAGCACCGTGTGGCCTCTCGACGTATGATGTGTGCATGTAAATAGGCGTATACACGTAAGTGTAAATGTGAGTGTGCGAATGTGATGGTGACGTGGTTTTAAGGAGCCGCCGCGAATGTGCTGAGATGCTCAGGCTTCTCGCTCGAACGATCTTGCCCTGCCGCGCACCCTGCGCTGTTCTTTCTGCTGCCGCGTCCTCCCGGTGCGGACTCCTCTCCCGCCTCACCGCGTCTCCTCCCTTCCCTTCCCCTGCTCCCGTTTCCCCTTCTCCGCGCTCCTGCTCCCCTTCCTCCCCCTCCTCCTCCTCCTCCTCCTTCTCTTCCTCCTCCTCCTCCTCCCTTTCCCTTCCAGTCATCCTCCTCCTTCTCCGCCCTTCCGGTCCTGCTCCTCTTTCTCTTTCCTCCTCTTACCCCCTCCTCCTCTGTCTTATATACTCCCATCTCCCATGCCCCAAGAGGTACCCAGCGTTGGTTGAGTGAGTTTCCAATTGTATAGTCACGTTGCCGGGCGAATGCTCAGTATTCAAGGGTTTGGAACCGTGTGGCACAAGCGCGCGTTTCAGGAAAAGTAGCGGGTGGGGTATCGACCCGCTCCCGCGTCGCCGCCCGGCCTCTCTCCGTTTCCCCGTTCCAAGACGGCCGTTCACATGGTAGCAGAAACGTCATGGTAGAGCGAGGTGGAGGAAGAGCCTGGCGGCGCGCAGGGGAGCGGGCCTAGCCCGACCGCTGCTGCCCCACAGCGTGCAGCAGCAGCAGCAGCGGCAGACACAGCAGCGCCTGAGGCTTCCAGCGAGGCCCAGCAGGCGCGGCAGCCACCGACCGAGGCGCCACCACCGGCACCGACAGAGGCGGAGGATCCGTGGACGCGCTGGGATCCATGGGCGAGAACGACGAGCAACAGCAGTGGCAGGTGGTGGAACAGCTGGTGGAGCGGCTGGTGGGGCGCTGACGGCAGCAACAGCAGCTGGTGGCAGGGCGTCCCGGCGACAGACGACGGCACGGTGCGGGTCACGATCGCGCGGCCGGACGAGCCGCCGGTGCCGCACGGGCTGCTGCGCGGCGGCGGCGGGCGAGCGGCCGAGGCCAGAGGCCAGCGCCGAGGCCAGGCCGCCTCCGTCGGCGCCGGCTCAGAGCGGCCTGCCCGCGGGGCTCGCCCAAGAGCGGGCCGCGGGCTCGACGGCGACGCCGGTGCCTCCACCGCCCAATCCGTGGGCACCGACCTAGACGGGCGCGTCCGTCTCGACATGGAGGCCGTCGGACACGCAAGGACCTGCGCCCTGGGGCGGATTCGAGCGGCTGGACATGCTACGTAGTGGCACTCAAGCGCTGGTCCAAGCGCACGAGGCTGCCAGCATAGCAGCAGGCAGGCAATGTCACCGACGGCTTGCCGATGGACCTGCAGGAGCGGTTACTACATCAGCAGGAAGAATTGGACAGCGCAGAAGGGCTAAACGTGCTGATCGATTTTCTCAAGACGTGCAGAGGAGACCAGGACGGTGACGAGGCCAAGGAAAGCTTCAGATTAGTGCTGGAGGACACGGAGATGCGACCAGGAGAGACTTACGCCCAGTATGCTATGAGAAGGGACACGCAAGCACGAGCCGCGAGAAGCACGGTCCCGACCTACCGGAATCGGTCCAAGTGCAGCAGATGAGGAACGGAGCGGACCTCAGCGAGCAGAACGCCATCAACCTTCTGTCGATGACGCAGGGACGAGAGGATCTGGAGTCGATCAAAGCCGGGCTTAGAAGGATGGACGTGAAAAAGAAGACGAGTCAAAGAAAGCCTCGGGTGCACGCGACCGCGGACAGCGATCATGAGCAGGAGGGGGAGGACACCAGGGGCCAGGACGTCTACTTCGAGTTCGAGGAGGACCTGGTCATGGACAACGAGGACGCGGCGGCCTTCTACGAGGCGATCGCCGACCAGGAGCTGGACGAGGACCAGGCGATCGCGGTGCTGACCGCGGTGCTGGACGAGAAGAGGGAGAAGGAGGGCCGCCCGCAGAAGTGGGCGGAGTCGAGGGAGCTCAAGAAGGCGATCGCCCAGGATCAAGACTTCTTCGACTCGAAGAGGGCTGGGGGCCGACAGGCGCCGCGGCCGACCGCCGGGAAGCAGAGGCTGAGCATGGCGCGCATCATGGAGAAGACGCGGCGCGCGAACTGCGGGCAGAAGGGTCACTGGAGGGAAGAGGGCGCGAATCCCTACAAGCCGAAGTCGGAGGTCCGCGACAGGGGCCACAAAGGCGCCGCCGGGGCCAAGGGCCCCATGCGCGTGGCCGCCAGCAGCGACGGGGACAACTTCCTCGTGGGAGGCGCTCGCATCCGGGAGATCCGCGCCCTGAGGATCCCGGAGTCAGCCGACCGCCCGGACCAGGAGATCTACTTGCTGGAGATCGCCGGCGAGGAGCCCGAGGGCATGGTCGACACGGCGGCCGGGCAGGCGCTCGTGGGAGAGAACCAGCTGCGCGACCTCCAGCTCAAGCATCGCGAGAAGGGCTGGGGCACCCCGACGCGCGGGGCGGACGGATGCGGCAGCGCCAAGGGGGTCGGCGGCCAGTCCAAGGTCGTGGGCGAGGCCATGGCCCCGGTGACCCGCGAGGGGGTCAGGTGCCTCATCCTGTTCCGGATCGCGAGCGAGGACGCGCCCCTCCTCCCGCTGGTGCGCTGGCCAGAGGGCCTGGGTGCCATCGTGGACTTGGCCGAGGATGCGCTCGCGCTCCGCCGCGACGGTGCCGACGGGGGGATCATGATGAACGGGCAGAAGTCGGGCCGCCGGACCATCCCGCTGCCGGGCGACAGCCGCCCAGAGGACTTCCAGGTCCCTGAGGCGGCCCGGCGGGGCTGGCCTGGACTCGGCGCGAGTGATTTCCGAGCTGCGTGCAGGCCTCTCTCTTTTTTCCCTCCGGGCTCGCTGAGACTCCAGAGATCCTCCGTAGGTCTTCAGAGCTTCTGGTAGGTGCTGCAGACATCGCGGGTCGCCCCGACCCCGAACACCGGGGCCTCGAACCCGTCGGAACCGCGACCAAGACGAAGGCGCCCCTCGCGGGGTCACCCGCTTCGGCGGGCACGAGCGGCGCCGAGATGGGCCAGGCGATGGAGGCGATCCAGGCCAACAGCGCGGCTGTCAACCAGTTCGCGAGGGCCGCCCAGGAGGTCGTCTGCAAGAAGTAGGTCTTAGCAGGGATCCAGGGAGGGAGAGACGGGCAGGATAGGAGGGGGAACACCAGGGCAATCCGGTGAAGGGACCTTCTGTTCTGCGGAAGGGGGGGGTGATCAGATCTGGCGAGCAGCCTCAGTGGCCCGGCCACGCCGCCACGGCGAAGCCACCCGAGACGGCAGCTTTCACGCCGCGGGGACTTGGTGGGACAGGGGAGGGCCGATCAGTCACTCTCGATGAGGTTTCCGATTCCAGGGGGTGGGGGGCCAGCGAGCTCATACGGGTGGCCTGCAATTTGGCGTGCCAGTCCGACGTGGGGTCAGAGCACGTGGACCTCCGACGATGTCAGGATTCGCTGCCGAGATGCCTCAGGAAATGTCCTCTACGACTCCCTCTCCTCGGATTTCTCCGCGCGGCAGTTGCAGGTCGCCGTCGCCAACGAGCCCTCAGCATCGCCGTGGAGACGTTGACAGCTTCGGCATCTACGAACGCGCCTCCGCCCGGATCAAGTACCAGGGCTCCGGCTGGGCCAGCGTCTCCGTGGGGGGGTCTGCACTCCCTCGGCCGGCCCCCCCCGGTTTCTGGACCTGACGCGTCCCCGGGAGGGTTCGTGCCAGATTCCCCGGGACGTCCGGGGCGCCGTCTTTGCCCAATTGGCGGAGAAGGGTCGGTTGGGAAGCAGCGGGAGACGCGGAAGAAGCTCGCCCGGGACTGGCTGACCGGGTCTGGCCGCGCGGCGGCCCTTGAAATCTTGTCTGCTCCTCGGGCGACGGCTAGCCTGGAGGGGCAAGGCTACCCGGTCTCTTAGAGTCTGGATCTGAGGGCGGGTTGCGACCTGACGCCCGAGTCGGGGGAGAGGGCTTTGTGGCGCATCGTTGAAAGGGATCGGCCAGAAGTCATAATCATGAGCCCCGAATGTCTTGCCTTCTCGATTGCTCGGGGACCCAGCTGGCGTCTGTTGAAGAGGGCCGACGTGACCGGTCCCGAGGAGGCAGGTATCCAGCCCATGGCCCTGCGCATGCGAGTCGCCGAATATCAGATGAGGCGGGGTCGAGGGTTGCTGCTCGAGCACCCGGCGCGGGCGTGCTCGTGGGTGTTAGATTCGGTTCGAGAAATCCTGGGTCGCCCTGGGATCCTGACTGGACTCGCCGACCTGCGTCAGCACGGCCTGGCCGCGCGGGGGGAGGGGGGGCTAACAAGAAGCCCGCCGTTTTTACTGCGAATCGAGCGTCGATTTTGCAGCAGCTTCTCAGACGGTGCGACGGCAGCCACGTGCGCAGACAATTGCGTGGTTAGGCTCTCACTAGCGCGGCCCAAGTCTACCCTCCAGGCCTGGCCCAGGCCATGTGCGAAGGGGTCTTGGAGTCAGCCCTGAGAGCTGCCTTCGGACATCGAGAGGGGGCCCCTGACCTCTGGGGGGCTCCCGAGCAGCCAGACGAAGGTCTGACGGGCGACCCTCGGACTGCGTCTTTCCTCGCCACCGGGGGCTCGGACGAGGACCCCAGTGGGAACGACAGGGGGGAAGGCAGAGCGTGGAGGCAGGCTGGGTCAATCAGTCGGAGCATGCGCTTGGAGATAGTTCGGACTCACGTCAATTTAGGGCTTCCGTCGACGGGCGCATTTCTGAAGATGTTACTGTTTGCTCAGGCGCGTCCTGAGGTGATCGAGTACGTGAAACATGATTTCCGATGTGAGCAATGTGACAGTCACTCCAGGCCGTCTTGGAGGCGTCGGGCGGCAGTCCCTCGCGCGTGCCGTTTTAATCGTCTGGTTGCGGTCGACTGTCTGTTTATCACGGTTCTTGGCGCCAAGATGACCATACTGAACATGTTCGATCATGGGCCCAGTTTCCAGTTGTGCCATCTCTTCGGTCCCGGGGGGCCGCTCGCGTCCGAGAACACCTGGGCTGCTTTCGATAAGAGCTGGGTTCGCATCTTCGGCCCCTCCGAGGTCGTCACATCAGACGGCGGGCTAGAATTTCTTGGCGCTTTCGGTCGCGCGCGCGGGCACGCAGGCATTTTCCAGCACATTTGCGGCGCCGCGTCGCTGCGGCAAAACGGAAGGTTAGCGCCGCGGGGGCTGGATCAATATTGCATTGGCCAAGGCAGCCGATCACGTCCAGCCCTCCTCCCGCGCCGAGGTGGAACTCATCCTTCACGAGGCCGTGTCAGCCAAGAACAGATACTACCACGGGTCTGGATGCTCCCCGTATCCGTTAGTTTCTGGCGAGAACCCTCGCCCCCCCCCGCTCTCCTCTCAGCGACGAGGGAGACGATGACATTGGTGTGGAGGCTGTCCAGGGGGACTCGCCCAGCCAGGACAGCGTCGCCAGCGCGTTTGCTTGGAAGCATCTGATCCGCGAGCAAGCCAAGAGGGCCCTGATGTGTGCCGATGCGAAGCCGCGTCTGGCCGAAGCCCGGAGATCTCGACCCCGTGCTGACCGCGTCTTCGTTCCAGGGCAGTGGGTTTACGTGTGGAGGAAGGTGGTCGGCGTGAAGACACGCGCGCTTCAGCGCGACCGATGGGTCGGCCCCGGGGCCGTCGTTTATCATGAAGGCACCACCGTGCGGATAGCTATGCGCACCGCGTTGTGAAAATGTTCAATCGACCAGGTCCGAGAAGCTACGCGGGGGGGTGCGCGCGGGGCCGAGCTCGTCGACACCCCCGAGTTCCGGGAGCTTCGGGAGGACGCGCGCAACCGGGGGAAGAAGATAGGAGTACTGGACGTGGAATCCGAGGGGCCCCCTCCCGACGAAGCCTGGGACGACCGAGATCGTTCAGCCCAGGACCCAGGAGGCGCCCCATGCCCGGCGGGGAAGGCGGAGGGTCGGTGGCTCGTCCCTTCGAGCCAGCGAAAGATCGGATGGAAGCTAGCTCCCCTCTCCCGTCGATACCCGAAATAGTGAGGTCGAGGGCTCAGGGGGTGCTATGGGGTCGAACCCGTCAGAGGACCAAGCCGAGTCCGCTGGCAAGGAGGAAAGATTGCACCCCCCCCCCGGACTGCCCGAGCTTCTTCGATCCCGTCCTCGCGTGAGCAGCGAGGGCAGCGCGCCCCCGTGTCTTCCCTCCACAATCGGTTCAGTCAAGGCTGCCAGCGCAGCCGGAGAGCCAGAGGCTTTGTCGATTCCGCCAGACCTTTCGAGCATCGCAGGAGGCGAACGGGAGAGATCTCCGCGGGCAGCCCCGCGACCAGCCAGCAGCGCCGCGTTCCGACGCGCCCGGCGGGCGGGGCTCTCCCGCCCGCGGGCATCTGACCCGCGCGGCGGGCCCCGGGGTCCCTCCAGTGGAAGACATGCCGCAGGCCTGCGTGCTGGAACGAGTGCGGGAATGGGAGACTCAGAAGGATGGATCCGACATCGCGGGGGCCCAGTCCGGCGAGGGCCTCGGTCCAGGTCCGAAGGATTAGCCGCCGCCGCTCTGGAAGAAGAGGGAGGCGCCGACTGCGTCTGGGTGGAGCTCGGGGAGGCCGAAGGGGCCGATGACCAGGACCACAGCCTGTCTCGCGAGCTGGAAGCCTGGGGATCGAGCTTCGAGTCCCCCCCCTCGTTCGCTACGGCCGGACCAGGCTCAGAGGGGGGCCCGGCGCGGTCAGGAGGTCATCTGGAAGAAGTTCAGTCCGGAAGTGCGGGAGGAGCTCAAGAAGTCAGACGCCGCCGAGTGGTCGGCCACAACGGCCAGCAAGGCTGCGAGGGTGGTTCCCCCCGAGGATGCGGCCCTCGTTCGCAGGAAGGACCCTTCCCGCATTCTCTCCTCGAGAATGGTCCGTCGGTGGAAGCCGCAGGAAGACGCGGCGGCCAGCGCGAAGGCGCAGTCGCGCTGGTGCGCGAGGGGGTGCGCCGACCCGGCCGCGGAGCCCCTCCGCGTCTACGCCCCAACGCCCAAGGAGGAGGCCGTGCTGGTTGCTCTCCAGCTGATCGCTGGCAAGAGGTGGAGACTTCAGATAGCCGGCTGTAAAAATGCGTTTCGCCAATGGGAAGATGTGCGTCGAGCCGTGCGACGGAGTCGACTTCCCACGTGGGGCCTTTCTGGAGCTGGTGGCCCCATTCTACGGACTGAACGACGTCCCCAGCAGGTGGCATCAGACGTTGACCTCGTTTCTGAAATCCATTTGTTATTGGCGGTCCCTCTTGGAACCCTGCCTCTGGGTCTCTCACCACCCCTCGGGAAGTCTAGAAGCCCTCATCGTCGTCGAAGTTGGCGATCTCGTCATCGGAAAGAGCGTGTTCTACCGCTGCTGGCGGAAAACCGGGGGGGGTCACTACTGGTTCGAACCCCTCCCCCACCCCCCCCTCCGGAAAACCGAGGGGGGGTCACTACCGGTTCGAACCCCTCCCCCCCCCCCCCCCCCTGCTCATCATGAAAGGGGGGGGGGGGGGTACCGGTTCGAACCCCTCCCCCCCCCCCCCCCCTCCGGATCCGGAAAACCGGGGGGGGTCAATACCGGTCGGGGGCCCCCAAACGGGGTGGTGACCGCACCGTGCGGTGAGTTTGTGGGGATTCGGGGTCACCGCACGGTTTTGGGACTCGGGCCGTTCTCCGAGGATGTATCGGGCGACAGGGGCTTCCAGGGTCCCAAGACCGTGCGGTGACGGACCGTGCGGTGAGGTCTGGGGGGATTTCGAGGTCACCGCACGGTCCGTCACCGCACCGTTTCGGGACTCCAAAACCGGTTCGAACCCTTCCCCCCCCCCTGAGGTTCGATACCGGTAAAAATAGCAGTTGCAGAAAATATCTGCAAAAAAATACCGGTTGTGAATCATATATGCAAAAAAATAGCAGTTATGCGCATTTTTATATCATGTTGAGCATATCTGTAAATTCATAAGAGTCCTAAGTCATATCTGCAAAAAATAGCAGTTATAACCCATATATGCAAACAAATAGCAGTTATGGCAAATATATGTAAAACATAGCAGTTAACAGTCAGATCTGCAAAAATAGCAGTTATGACAAATATCTTTTTATAAAAAATAGCAGTTATGAGTCATATCTGCATCATGAGCCGTCTCTGGGCCATCTTGAGCCGTCTTGAAGCAGTCTAGTGGGCCGCAGGTGAAACGACCCTTAAGCCTGCCCATCGAATCCGATGAGTTTCCGATGCACTACCAATGAGTTTCCGATGGTTTCCGATGAGTTTGCACTGCGCACGTATCAAATAATGCCCGATCACGTGGTGCGTGTTGAACACTGCCACGAGGCCGTCGGGTACACCGCTGCCCGTAGGCGGCGCGGGTTAAGGCAATTAGGGACGCGGCTCGTTAAATAAACGGGCGCCGCGCTTAACATGAAAAAGTAAGTGAAACAGTGAGCGGGGCGAGAGCGTCATTTTGAAAGTGCCCGCCCTCCATCCGTGTAGTTGTTCACTGCCCCAGATGCCCCGAACCCTACTGAGGAGGAGGACGGGCGAGGAGGAAATGGCGGAGGAGGAGGAGGACGGGGGCGGACGGCGCGGAGGCGCCTCGCGCGATCAAGGTTGAACGCGCTACGGGGGTTCATCTCGGGCCCCAGTGCTCGCGGGCACGGGGCCGCGGCGCGAAATCTCGATGTTCGGGGGCGAACGCCCCACGCGGTGTCGGAAACCATCGTCCGGCGACGACGACGACGACGACGACGACGCCTCGCGAGGCGTCGTCGTCGTCGTCGGCGTTCTGGCTCGATCGATCGCGATCGGCGTTCTGGCTCGATCGAGCATGTTGGGCCATTTCGAGGCCACTAGGAAGGTCAACCTTCCTCCGCGCGCCCAGTTGGCGCGCTTCCGCGGGGCGCGCGCGATGGCACCCTTCGAGGTTGCCACGCCGCCCGCGACCCCGCGTGCGGGGAAGGGCTCGGCGGAGCCGCCGACGCCCCCGACGACGGCGGCGGCGTCGGCGGTGGAGAGCGCGGCCAGCTCGGCTGCGCCCACGCCGCAGCCAGAGACGGCGCAGGAGACGGCCTCGCCGCCGCCAGAGACGGCGCAGGAGACGGCCACGGAGGCCATCTCTACTCGTCGTCGTCGTCGTCGTCGTCGTCGTCGTCGTCGTCGTCGTCGTCGGCGGCGTCCTCCCCCGTCGTTCCGGCACCGATGGCGACAACGATGACGACGACTACGACGACCACCCATGGGTGGTCGTCGTAGTCGTCGTCGTCGTCGTCGCCGCCGCCGCCGCCGCCGCCGCCGTCGTCGCCGTCGTCGCCGTCGTCGTCGTCGTCGTCGTCGTCGTCGTCGTCGCAGGCTGCCGACGACGACGCGGCGCTGGTGCCCGCGAACGAGACGCTCGAGCAGGCGTTGGCTGGTGTCGTGGACCGCCGCCGCCCCGCGCGGAGGGGGGGCTCAGGGGTGGGGGGCTCGCCGACCCCCCCCGTCGTCGACTATCTTCCGATTGGGATCCGATGAGTATCCGACGAGTTTCCGATGAGGTTTCGATGAGTTTCCGAAGAGTTCACGATGAGTTCCCGATGGGTTTCGATGAGTTTCCGATTAGTTTACGATGAGTTTCGATGAGTTTCCGAAGAGTTTCCGAAGAGTTCCCGATGAGTTTCCGATGAGTTTCGATGAGTTTCCGATGAGTTCCCGATGAGTTTCGATGAGTTTCCGAAGATCGACCCGATGAGTTCCCGATGAGCTCCCGATGAGCTCCGATGGGGCCCTGGACGGGGCCCTGGATGCATTCCTGGAGGGAGTTTCGGTGAGTTTTGAATCCGCAGCGCTCCGATCTATGTGTCCGTAAACGTTTTGGCTCCACAAGTTCAGTGGGCACCAGCTGCCAGATGCCATGCCCGACGCTCGGCCCTATCCGACGCTCGGCTCTACCGTATGGCTGATGATGGCGCCAGCGACGGGTCCGAGTCGACCCGCGCCGTGTGCACGGACGTGGAGTTGCTGACCAAGGTGCTGCGCCCTGTCATGACGAAACCAGATTTCGTGGTGTACAAGAGCGACCACTCCTCCTTCCCTGTGTCCAGCGACCAGGCGCCCTTAAGTGCCGACGCTGCGGTGCTCGTCGCGCAGTCGATCAGGCAGCAGGCAGCGCCGAACTTGAGCGTCGGCAAGGTCGCGTGCGAGAACGCGATCGAGTTCTTGGTCACCGAGAAGGCGAAGACAGGAAAGCCGCCCTGGAGTTTGTTCGAGGGCGATTCCAAGAAGCGCTACGTGAGGGACATGACGGCTAGGGTGCGCGCGCTGTGCATGCACGTGGGGTCCTTCTACCGCCGCAAGCTCGGCCCCCCTCAGTGGTACAAGGCCGTCATCGCGGAGCAGGGCTACACCGACGGCATCAACCTGAACGAGGATCAGGACGAGGAGGAGGACGACGCGGACGAGGAGGACAGCGCGCCCGTCAGGCGAAGGCCGTCAATGCGAGGAGGTTCAGCGGCAGGGGGCGAGGACGAGCCCGAGGGCACGGGGGCCGCGAAGAAGAGGCCCGCCGCGGCCGAGCCTGCAGGTGACAGCGCAGGTTCCGAGGTGCAGTACGTCTACAAATTCGACGAGAACAAGAACTCGGCAGTGCGCATCCAACCGAGCACGCGGCGGGTGGAGCTTTGCGACAGCTCGCGGTCATCCGACCAGGGCGGATTCATGGTTGCCACGTGGGCCGATGGGAAGGAGTGGCGCTACCCAGAGGCGCTGCACCAGCAGAAGGAGAAGCCGAAGAGCGCCAAGAGTGGGCTTCCTTCTAAATACTTACCTGACGGCTCAAAGGTCTACGTCGAGCTGAAGAGAGATCGGGATCCGAACCACAAGCTCATCCTCATCATGCGCAAGCTCAAGGACGGCACCAAGGAGCAGCAGACGCAGGCGACCACCAGGAACTTCGACAACGAGGAGCATGGCGTCAAGGTGATGACCGAGCGGATCTTAGAGATGTTCGTCCGCGACCCGAAAACTACGAAGCAGCAGGCGATGGCGGCGAAGATGGACCTCCTCAAGGAGATCGAGAAGACTGTCGAAGCGATCTGCCAGAAGGAGGCCGAGAAGTTGGCCAAGCATGAGGCCGATGAGGCGGCGGCGCCCAAGCGGGGCGCTGCAGCTCGCAAGAGGCCCGCCGCCGCTAAGCCCGCCAGCGAGGAGGCGGCGGCCTCCGACGCCGAGGCGGCGTCGGGCAACGGCATGGGCGAGAACGCCGAGGCGGCTTCGGACGGGGAGGTCTACACGGCAGGAGAGGGGGAGGCAGACGCTGCTGCAGGAGGCGCGCCGTCCACTCCCGAGCAGAAGGGCAAGGGCAAGAAGCGCGCCGCACCAGGCAAGATCTCGACTTCGAAGGTCCCCATCCAGCGCATCGGCATCGAGAAGGGCATCGCGGGCGCCAAGGCTTCCAAGTCCGCGCAGGGCACCTCCCCGCAGACGGCCATCAAGGGGCCGACGGGCACGCTCATGGGGGACGCGCGCAAGCAGCTGGCGGAGGATGACTCGTCGGACGGTGCCGAGTAGACTGACGGGCTCCGACTTCAGAGAGCCACGATCGGAAAACATGTAGCCCACTCCGCCCTGGCCTCTCGGACCCCCGCCCTCCGCGGCGATCCGACTCCCTCGACTCAGCGATTGCGGGGGTCGCGAGGATAACTCAGCGCATGACGCGACGTGGCAGTGGAGATAACCGCGACGAGTTTCCGAGGTCGCGAGGATAACGTTGCGCATGGCACGGCGTGGAAGCGGAGATAATCGCGATGAGTTTCCGATGAGTCCCGATGAGTTTCGATGAGTTTTCCCCTCGGCTCCGATGCGTTTATCGATATATCTCTATATATATGTGTGTGTCGGCGAGCCCCCCACCCCACCGCCTGATATGGGAAACTTCATTGTCGTCGTCGTCACGTCGTTGTTTATTGTTATTCTTGTTATCGCGTCAACATCTGACATCCTACCCCTCCCTCCCATCCCTTCCCATTGCGCTACTTAATTGTCCTCTCACCGAATCGGGTGTCGCATCTGACCCTCATGCATAGCAAGAAGAGGAAGGATGCCTAGGGCGTTGCCCACGGCGGGTTCTCCTGGAGGCCTGGCACCTCGGGCTGCACTCGGCGGGCGGGTTCACCTGCGGGCCTCAGTCCTCGTGCGGGTTGCCCTCGGCGGGCGGGTTCTCCTGCGGGCCTGGCACCTCGTGCGAGTTGTTGGGGTCTGTCGCCTCAAGCGGGTCCTCTGGGGCGTGGGGCGACAAGAGTGGGTCCTCTGGCGTCGGTGGGATCGTGGTGTAAGTGGGTGACGTCATCACGCCACTGGCCCAGCGCCTCAAAGGCCTCGCGGGGCTCTCGTCTTGCTCCTGGAGCGCCGAAGCCTGCGAGCGCGGGCTGCTCGTGTCGGGGTCGAAGCTGCCGCCGCTCTTGCTCTTGCCCTTGCCCGTCAAGCTGTCGCCGCTCTTGCCCTTGCCCGTCGAGCTGTCGCCGCTCTCGCCCTTGCTCTTGTTCTTGCCCTTGTACGTGAGCAGATCTGCCGCCACCACGTCGGCTTCTGTGATGTCGTCGGCGTAGCGCTTGTCGTGCAGCCGCGATGGGAGACGGCTCAAGAGGCTAATCTCGTCCTGTGACAAGATGTTGAGCTTGTCCTTGCCCTTCTGCTCGTCGCTGTTGCCCTTGCCCTTCTGCTTGCCCTGCTGCGTGTCGTCGTCGCCCTTCTGGCCGTCTGTCACGAACTGGCAGGGCTGTCCGAGCTTGACCGGGCAGCTTTCACTTGTCCTCCCAGAGACACCCTGGTAGACTCCGCAAATCAAGCATGCGAGTGCCGAGCTTGATGCCGACCGTGATGCCGACCGTGGGCAGTGGCCCTCGCTGGGGCCGTCGCCGTCGCCTTCGTTGGGCCCGTCGCCCGTCTGGCTCTTAAGCACTCTGCGGTATTTGAGCGCGTGCGGGGTCCAGGGCTCCATATCAGGCGCGTGTGGGGCCCAGGGATCTAGTAGCCGAAATAGATACGGACGGCAGGCTTCGCACCGAGGCGAGAGCGCCCCCTCGGAACGGCCCAAGACGGTCCGAGTGGCCTCCAGCGGTCGCTCGGGACGATGCGGGCGCCCTCAGACTTGCCTCCAGCGAGGCGCGGCAGTGGGGGGGGGGGCACCGAGACATCCTCGATCCTCGATTCTGTTTTTCGGTTGTTGCCTTTCGGGGCCTCCTGGACCCCCTCGCGCCTACGGCTGGATCCGCCTCGCAATTCAAATCGAAGCGCCCTCCTGGGAAACAACTCGAGCCTCGATCCTCCATCATCGACTCTCGAGTTTGACGGCCGCTTCGGGCCTCGAGGGGCCTCCTCGTGCCTACGGCTGGGTCCGCCTCGAAATTGAAATCGACGCGCTCCTCGGGTAAAAAACACCTCGGGTCTCGATCCTCGATCCTCGACTCTCGAGTGTTTCTGTCGTGTTGGTAGTATTGATGGAGGGGAGGGAGCATCCCCCTCGCCGATACAGGACGGCCTGCACGTCGAGGACTTGCCCGACCGCCAGGACAGCTGGTCAGAGCGCTGGGCCCGCAGCAAGGACGGTGCTGTCGAAAGCTGCCGTGGGAGGGGGTGAGGTTGCGAGGAAGGAGGTGAGGGTTAGGAGGTTGATGAAGGGGGAGGGAATGAGGGGTGAGGAGGAGATGTGGAGGGCTGAGACCGCCCCTTCCTCCCGCCCGATACTCGGGTGGGGAGTTCGGACATGGGTGCGTGGGAGGAGTCGTGGCGACGGTGGTTTTCGCCGTCAGCAGGGCACCCCGCGTGCGGATGAGGGCGCTGATGCACCGCCTGAATCATCGTCGGCGGCAGCGGCATCGTCGGCAGGACCTGCGCTGGACGGCGTGGCGAGCATCGGCCTGCAGCAGGCGAACCTCGGGGCCATCGGCCTGGCCCAGGCCGACACCGCCGCGCTGGGCATCGCGCAGATCGACGGGGCGGCGATCGGGCTGGAGCAGGCGAACCTCAAGGGCCTCGGCATCAGCCAGCTGGGCGACACCGCCGCGGGGCCGAGCGGGGCGTCGCTAGGCGTCTCGCTGCCTGAGAACCCGTTCGAGGGCTCAGGCGGGCTGCAGCTCGGCTTCCTGGCGAAGAGGCTCAACGAGTTGGCGAAGGGCTGCGAGACGCCGCCCGCGACCAGGGCGCAGGAAAGCCCCGACGACGAGCAGCCCGATAAGGTGATCGAGGAGGCGTGGAGGACGAGGATCGCGAAGTCGAGGACGGCGATTGCCAGCAAGTACGACCGCTTCAAGAAGGGCAGCGCAGAGGAGCAGGCGAAGTACAAGCATGCGCAGGGCCACACCGGCAAGGAGAACTGCATCCTCGAGTGGGTCGACAAGCAGTGGAACGCCTACCAAGAGCGCAGGTTGGGAGCGACGGCGACGACGACAACGATGACGACGACTACGACGACCACCCATGGGTGGTCGTCGTAGTCGTCGTCGTCGTCGTCGTCGCCGCCGCCGCCGCCGCCGCCGACAGGTCTAAGAGGAAGACCAACACGGAGGCCCACCTGGAGTGGGGGACCCACGAGCCGTTCGAGGTCATCGCAGGCAAGGAGTCGGGGGTCGGCATCACAGAGACGGGGGCGATGGCGGCACTGAACACAGTCTTGGCGTGCCAGAAGCTGGGGTACCCCTGGGTGCAGTGGAACAGCTTCACCAAGCGCGCCGAGTACCTCTACTGCAAGTCGGGCTTCAAGAACAAGTTCGAGACGGCGTGGACGCAGTGCCAGGAGCAGACGGGCGTGCAGGACGACCTGGCGCTCGACTTCCTGAAGGGGGGGGGGGGGGGGCGCGACGCGCTGGGCGGTGGCCAGCCGAGCCAGGCTCAGACGGGCGCAGCCGCGCAGCAGGAGAGCGAGGCCAAGCAGCAGGCGGCGGACGAGAAGAAAGCCGCCGCCGTTGCCAAGCAGAAGGAGGCGGAGGCGACGAAAGCAAAGGAGGCGGAGGAGAAGCAAGCAAAGGAGGCGGAGGCGAAGGCTAAGGCAGCGGTCAAGGCCGCTGCAAGGAGCACCAAGCGGACGAGGGGCGACCGCGGCGGCACGGCGACGCCGCCACCTGAGCCAGCTGGTGACGACGCTCCCCACCCGAAGCAGGCCAAGAAGGACGCGAAGAAGAAGCTCGACGACTTTCGCACGCTGATTAGCCTGTACGGACAGGAGCTCACGTCTGGCAAGATGATCTTGCGCAACATCGGCACGGTGGCCTCGTGGGAGCCCTTGGCGGACGAGAGGATGAGCGGAGATCTCCGCAGGGCAGTCGAGGCGCTGGAGAACACGAGCACCACCAACGCGCTCGTGGCGCAGCTGGTGACGCAGAAGTTCGACGCGGTGAGGGCATACGTCGGGGAGACAGATTTCGACAAGCAGATCGACCAGATCACGTCGATCCTGAAGCCCAAGGTGGATAGGCTCAACGCAGAGGTGGACGCCTTGAACCAGATGCACGCTCTGGTTGTGAAGAAGGCACAGGGCGGCAGGTAGTCGGAGGCAGCCTTGACGACGGCCTCTTGACGAGGCCTCTTGACGAGGGTTCGGCTGCAGAGCGGTCGATTCGCCCGCCGACCAGTGCCGCGTAGTTAAGGAGGGGAGAGTTGGGGGGAGAGGAGGAGGAGGAGGAGGAGGAGGAGGAGGAGGAGGAGGAGGAGGAGGAGGAGGAGGAGGAGGAGGAGGGGGAGGAGGAGGAGGAGGAGGTGGGGAGGAGGAGGAGGAGAGGAGGAGGAGGAGGAGGAAGGAGGAGGAGGGGGG